ACATATTTAAGTATTAAATCTATCAATTAAGCTATTAATTATAAATTTAACAACAAAATGAATAACTAATTCAAATTAATTGCACAATCCCTAATCTTGAAAACTCTTAACCGTTGCACAGTCATGGGATGAAATTGGATTCTAAACTAACATGAAAAGCAAAATTGGAAACAAAACTTATAGCTTTCTTTCATTATTTACTAAATTACTGAAACCCTAAAACATCTTTTACTCGAAAACTATAATCATATACAGTGCTTTACAATATTTAAAATATTTTAATCCTAATTAAACCCTCAATCTTAATTAAATAGTGAATCCAACTCAAATCTATCACACCCATTAACAATACCACCTCAAAAGTAAACAGGAATGTCTTAGAATGAATAAATAAACATACCTGACAATTAGACCAAGAACACTATTTGAGTTGTTTGTCTGTTGTGGTCCCGTATGTTCCAATAACTTTCACCTAGATTCTTTTGGTTGGTGCGGGGATTAAAGTTCTTTGCTTTGGTGGGGTTCTTCAAGAAGATCTTCGTTCTCAATCAGAATGATAGGAGTCGAACGGTTTGTTTGTATCTCATTTGACTTTCCGCTTTTTTTTTTCAACTTGTAAGTTAGAGTCAGAGTCAGAGTCAGAGTGGGACCCACAATTAAATTATTTGGCGGTATCTTTCCCGTTGACGAGCAATCCAAATTGGATTGCCAGCGTGTAAAAAAGGCCCACGTGTCGTTGACCTGTCCATGGCTAATGGAAATTAACGATGCACGTGGCCCTCGACATTAAATATTGTCTTATTATCAGAAACTCGAATATGATGAGAGTAAAAAATCACATATTGTAATGTGAGGCGTAAAGTCCCACATACTTGAAAAGTTGGAGAGCATTCTATGAGGTTTTGCCGAGATATATCTCTCTTAAACATATAGGGGGGGCCGGGGGTGAGGAATGGCAAGATTGTCATTCCACCAAAACCATCAAAAGTACTTTCAAAGACACAGACATTGCCTGGTTTACATTTCCCATAAAATCCAGTTGACTAACTAAAATCATTAAGTACAATATCCGGTTAACCATATCATGTAGAGCATGGAACTCCTTAAACAGTGCTATTTCTTTCTCACCAAATGCAATATAAAATGGAGCTTTTTTATCCTCCTTATTGATAAATTCAATCAAAAGCTAATATACACCAAAATTTTCCATAGATCCCTTACACCTGCTCTCAACCTCGAGCTAAAAAAATCAATGTATCATACACCCAGGTAATCTCTACAGTTGCAGAAGCACTGAGGCAAAGCTACTGCATAAAATACATCAAAATCTTAAGTTGTGCTCAGCTTCAAGCACTTCATAGACAATCCATCAAATTTTCTTCCAATAACTCAATTTACCGGCAAAAAGGAAAATTTTATGAAGATATCAAAGATAGGATAAGGTGTTTTCTTAAACAGGTAATTGTGTTAAAATGACTTACCCTCTTTCCCAGTGTCAATGCAAGCCATTTATCAATCTGACCTTGCTTTCCAGACAAGAAGGTTCTTCAGTAAAAGTAAAAGGAACTTAGGAAACCTTTGAGCTAAAAAGTACATAAATTTCCTTTTCTGTGACAATTTCTTCCAGACCCCATATTTCTCTGTCCTGCTCATCAGTTAATCGTATGGATTAACTATTGGAGCAAACATTGCTGCACCTGCAAACAGTCCATAACTAATTAAGGATAAAATGTATCAAGAGAATATACCAAGAAAATTCATTTCCCATTAAAAATTAACGATGATGAGAATAAAGAACCATTTGTACCTGCAATTCTTTGAGGAATCTATCTAAGAGCAGCCCAAGCATGAAGAGCACCACTTGAGTATCCTGCCACCCAAAACTTGCTATTAACACCAAGAGCATTTGCAATGGAAGACACATCCAAAGTAGATGACTCAACGTCTCAGTTCTGGTGAGGATCACTCTCGCCAAAACCTGGAAGATCAACATGTGAAACACCAATCTCTTCCAGCAGTGAAGCCTTTAAGTCCAAGAATTCCTAAATGGATAAAAGAATATGCAATATTATGAAAGTTATATGGATCACCCAAAAAAAAAAAAAAAGTATGAAAATTATATGAAAATATCTTACATAATCCATATTTTCACTAACCAGGAGTCCCAGACTATCCAACCTGCAAGGCGAGAGAAGAGAAATGCATGTGTGGTAATCAT